CAAAAGAACACATAATCCAATTAAAAAAATATAGAATACAGACCTAAACAGAGAACTCTCAACAGAGGAATCTAAAATGGCTGAAAGACACTTAAAGAAATGTTCAACATCCTTAGTCATCAGAGAAATGCAAATCAAAACAACTCTGAGATTCCATCTTACACCTATAAGAATGGCCAAGATCAAGAACACTGATGACAACTTATGCTGGACAGGTTGTGGGGTAAAGGGAACACTTCTGCATTGCTGGTAGGAGTGCAAGCTGGTACAGCCCCTTTGGATGTCAGTGTGGCGATTTCTCAGAAAATTGGGAAACAACCTTCCTCAAGACCCAGTAATACCACTTTTGGGTATATATCCAAAGGATGCTCAATCATACCACAAGGACATGTGCTCAACTATGTTCATAGCAGCCAGAACCTAGAAACAACCTAAATGCCCTTCAACCGAAGAATGGATAAGGAAAATGTGGTATATTTACGCAATGGAGTACTACAAAGCAGAAAAAAATAACGACATCTTGAATTTTGCAGGAAAATGGATGGAGCTAGAAAACATTATTTTTAGTGAGGTAACACAGACACAGAAAGACAGTTATCACATGTACTCACTGATAGGTGGTTTTTAAACATAAAGCCAGCCTACAAACCACTACACAACAATAAGGACACTAAGAGAGACTTACATAGATCAAGTCTACATGGGAAGTAGAAAGTAGAAAAAGACAAGATCTCCTGAGTAAACTGGAAGCATGGAAACCTTGGGGGAGGATTGAAGTGGGGACGGGAGAAGCAGGGAGGGGAGATCTCAATAGTATCAATAAAAAAAGTATTAAAAATACTAACAACTTGATGGCACATTCTAATGATAGAAATAAAACATCAAGCATACACACAAAGCAAGTTCCAAACTCGCAAAAGTCATAAGAGCAAGGACACTGAAATAGAAACAATACTATGCAATACTGAAGAGCACAGGGTAGCATGGTGGCTCAAGCACAGACTTTAGGGAGATGAAATGAACAACCTACTTAGCAACAAGTTTCTGTTAATGAACTCCAGTCCTGCAGTGACCACAGCACCTCCTCAGAGGAGGAAGCTTGAAATACATTATTTGGCTGCTATGATTAATGTAATGGAATGAGGAGCAAGTGACCCCATAAAAGGCTGCAGCATACAGAGCTGATGGTAAGTTCTAAAATTTCAGGAAGTAGGACACAGCTGGAGAAGACAGTGGTAGGACACAGTGATAGAAGCCAGCAGGGGAATCTTGCCCTGGAGCCTTCTTCTACTTCCAGTACATCAGAGGAGACTCTCCTGTCACATGAGCCTACAATCATGACACTCTGCCCAAACACATGGAAACACATGGGCATGGGGCCAAACAGCATGGACTGAACCCTCTAAAATCAGGAACTACAATGGCAGTGTTTGCTGTCACACACTCCCCACCCCCAAGGGTTATTTTATCACAACAAAGTGATCATTTCATGAACAGCTACGTTTTCGTGGTTTATGAGGACTTTCACTTTACATAAATATAGCCTACTTCATTGGGACAGCTCTGGTTCTAAACAAACCAGAGTAGCAGCATATGCTTTTCCAAAGGCAAGTACGATCTCCATCAGGAGGCTTGGACATAAGATAGGGTACCAAAGTGCTGTTTGTAAGCTGTTTCATAAGCCCAAGGGCAGAGCAGAGCTCCCAGTCACAGAAGTAAAGCAGGGTCAGCCCGGTATGGTTCTCAAACCTCAGTATGCACCCAGCCACCTAAAGAGCTATTCAAACAGCTCCGCAGGCCTTCCCCAGTCTCTGAACCACGGGTAGGTGGGGCATGAGAATGGCAATGCTAACAAGTTTCCAGACGATATCAACCTTCACTGTAGTACTGACACTCCTAGTCAGATGTTGCTGGAAAGGGACAAAAATTAAGTTTTCATTTTATAGTAACTACTTGAAAGAAAATCACTTAAGTAGCTACATTTTATAGATCTTTACAGTTGTGGGTTTTTAAAAATGTCTATACATTTCATTTTATGTAAACTGTTCTAAACTGAAACTGTTATGGCTAGAGTGATGGCTCAATTGTTAGAAGTCCTGGTTGCTACTCCAGGGGACTGGAGCTCAATTCCTACCATCCATGGTGGCTCACAACCATATGTAACTTTAATCCCTTCTTCTAGCCTGTGCCAGAAATAAATAATGTCTAAAAGTTCTGTAGAACTGGAGTTACAGACAGCTGTGAGCTGTCATGTAGATGCTGGGAATTGAACCCGGGTCCTCTAGAAGAGCAGTCAAGGCTCTGAACCAATGAGCCATCTCTCCAGCCCCAGGTAAACCATTTTTAATGTTGATAATTCAGTAAACTCACAGAAGTTCAGGATTCTAACTTGGTCTCCAACTATCCCAAGATAAGCACGCTAATAGAACTAGCATAGGTCAAGTCTAATATGGAGGAAAAAGGACGGATACACCTTTCCAGTCTCAAGATAACTTAGACTGTGTAGAAATCCTAAGACTCTTAGGATATTGTGTTTACCAGTAACAATTATCATAGCATTTTAATTTTTTCTATAATAAAATGAGCCATCTTCTATTTATATACCAGAGGTGATCTTATAATCAACCACACAATCTCAATGCAGATAATCAAGAGAACCTTGCAATAGCTTAAATGAGAAACTATTTCATAAGAAACATTTGAGTCTTTATACTGATGACTAGTAATCACCATACACTTACCAAGATAAATGCAGCCAAAGCCACCCTGGCCAATGGGCAGTCCTAGTTTCCATTCTTTTTTAGACATGTCGGTTATGATCTCCCCAGCAGCAAACTGCTCTGCAAGGCGCCTCTTTGCAGGACCCTGTCTTCCAGCCTGAGCTGCTTTTGCACGTGGCATTTTCTCTGTAATAACAAAGCAATTTTGATCACAATCATAACCTTAGAAGTGTTCAAAACACTCCCTTACAGAAGGCTTCTACTCAGCAAGGAATGCCCAAGACTAAAGAGAAGGATGTCTACTAATTCTGGTCTGTAACAGCTAGGATCCTATTTGATTGCCGCTAAGCTTTGAATAGGAAACCATAAATATAATGCAATTATGGAAAGCACCTTAAGTTCCAGTGGCATACCATCTGTAACTAAAATACTACTTAGTAACAACAAAACAAGAACTGTTTTATGCAACTAAGGGAAGACATGCAATTAGAATGCACAACACCTCGTAATGCAGCCAAGAGATCCTAAGTAGTAGGGACGCGCTGAATCCAAGCACAGACTACAATCCCAATTAGGTATGCCCAACGGGGAAGGACAGGACATTTGTGGCACTAGAGTAGGTGCTGAGTAGGAACGCTGCACCAGCACCATTTACACAAGGACAGAGGCTCAGCAGAGAAGCGGTACACACTACCAGCTAGCTCCACAAAGTCTCCACCATCCAATGTGTCCCCTCTCCCTGGGCATCCTAGAAAAGCAGCTTGCTCACTTTTGTCACCAGCACAAGTGTAACAGAATGTTCTGGGGAAACAGTTTTACTGGGGAAGAGCATGACTGCACCCCAAGGATGTAACTGGCTAGATGGGAAGTCCTGATCAAAGCATATCTCCCTAAGCTTCAAATGCACTCAGGTATAACTCACTGCATAATCTACAATTTTCTGTACATACATAAAGGTAAGTTGCATGACTTCAAGTTCTTCTTTCTATAAATACTAACCCAAAGGTTTCCCTAAAAACATCAGAAGACAGCAGAGAGATGGGAGTGACTGAAAAGCCTGGCCTGCAACACTTAGAATGCTATTTCAAATGGGGTCTGTTAAGATGCCACATTCTGAACCCAGATAAACTAAACACACTTTTTTTTTTTTTTTTTTTTGGTTTTTCGAGACAGGGTTTCTCTGTAGCTTTGGAGCCTGTCCTGGAACTAGCTCTGTAGACCAGGCTGCCTCTGCCTCCCGAGTGCTGGGATTAAAGGCGTGCACCACCATCGCCCGGCCCTAAACACACTTTATTAAAAGATTTGTTTTCTTGAGATTGGAGTGGTGGCTCGGTGGTTAAGAGCACTGGCTGCTCTTGAGATGTTCCAGGTTCAATTACCAGCATCTACATGGTGGCTCACAATCATCTATAACTCTAGTTCCAGGGAATTCCACATCCTCTTCTGGCTTTCTCAGGAACTAGGCGTGCACATGGTGTAGCAAAATGCCCAGATACACAAAATAAAAATAAGCAGAAAAAAAAAACAGTGCTTTATTTTCTTATCTTTTAAATCATGTATATAGAAAGTCTGTGTGGGTGTCTGAGGAGGCCAGGAGAATGAGCTCCTTGGAGCTGGAGTCACAGGTTGTTATGAGTCACCTGACATGGGTGCCAGAAACCAAACTCAGGTCCTTTGCACCAACAGTATTTGCTCTCAACTGCTAGATTGTCTCCCTAACCCTAGCCCTCACCCTCAACACAGAGTATTAGACTGAAAAATTTCAGCAAATGCCCTCCAACTATCACTACACATGCACGAATTCCATATATGCAAATAGGAATACTGTGATAGTTAATCCTGGTTGTCAACTACATCTGGAATCAAGTAAAACTGAAGCAGCTCAACTGGGCACACTATGAAGGGCTTTTCTTGACTGGACCGTTTGAGTTGGGGGGACCTGCTCTAAATCAGAGCCACGCCTTCTGGTGACAGCCCATGTAAAAGAACATGGAAGAAGGAAGCTTTTGTTTTTGTCTGCCTGTCATTAGTATCACTGGCAAGTTCATCTACCCTGTTGCTAAGGCATTCCTTCGCTGGTATTAAAACCTACTTCTTTAGGATTCCAACTCAGACTAAAGACCAGCAGCTCTCTTAGGACTTCCCCGGAACTTCAGCACCAGTCTGAAAGGGACTGTTGAGACATCCAGTCTTTTTGTTTGTTTATTTGCTTTGTTTTATTGTTTTTGTTTTTTCAAGACAGGGTTTCTCTGTAGCTTTGGAGCCTATCCTGGAACTAGCTCTTATGGACCAGGCTGGCCTCGACTCACAGAGATCCGCCTGCCTCTGCCTCCTGAGTGCTGAGATTAAAGGCCTGAGCCACCACTGTCCAGCTTCACCCAGTCTTTTCTTTTCCATCAGGAGACAGTCACTGCTGAACTACTAGGACCACAGCCTCCCCCTATATACATCATTGTACCAGTCCTGTTCCTTTAGAAAACCCTAGTGCAGATACTTTATTAACTGATGGGGACATCTTTAAATCTAACTTTTCCTTAAAAATCACTGTGCATTTTCCCAAATTTCAACCTTCTCTAAGGTGAAAATCATCTTCAAAGCAAAGAAACTTGGTGCTGGCACTTCCTCAGACCAGTTCCCTCAAGGTGCTTTTAATCTGTGCCAAAATCTTGCCCAGCAGAATCTTGGTAACAGCCACGGCAACCAGGACTCAAAACACTGAGAGGAGATTAACTTCTGTGCCTGGGTGGCAACTCCACTAGAAGAATGAACTCGGAACACACAGCAGTCTCAGCATTAACATGATTTCTTCTCAGCTTCACCCAGCTTTATCAAATCACAGCAATTTCCAATTTGATTATTTTCTTATAGTTGTCGAAACAGTTATTAATGACTTTAAAACTCTCCTTTCTGTAACTCAAGTGCCTGGACAAATGGTTCTTTCTAGAATTCCTTTCTATGTGCAATAAAGATACTAACTATACTATAAATTAAATCTGCCTCAGCATTATTTCATACAGATCTGTGGTTTAAAAAAAAAGTGGTGTGTGTGTGTGTGTGTGTGTGTGTGTGTGTGTGTGTTTCTCCAAATAAAACTATTGGCTCTTATTTTTAACTTTATTCTTAGGGCCAGCTATCTAGAGCTTACTGTAATAATTAAGACCAGGAATGTCACTCTTAAAACTAGTTCTAGGAAACTCTGCAGCAACACTGAGCCTCCCTGAATTCCCTCCCCTTCACACCCCCAAACCATACAAGAAAGCACTAGAGCAAACTCCAAACCCTAGCATACCATTCAAAGCAAAACTAGGAAATGGTTCCTGTCTCCACAACACAATGTAAGTGGATACTGACAAGACTGGTACATACAACTCTCAAAACTTCAGAGCAGTGTATCTTACACACACACCCGGCTCAAGAAGATGCTGCAGCTACAACCAAGTGAGCTTCACAAGGAAGACTAGGTTTTCGAGAACCCAAGACTGAACAAAAGGGAGAACAGCAAAAACGATTTGCACCTGGGAAGCCGTGCCCACTCAACTGACACCAGGAGCAAGGGAGAAGAGGGTATGGGATAAACACAACATATCCTTTCAGAAAAACATTTCCTTACCCAACCCCCCCCCCCAAAAAAAACTGAGCTATAGTTATTTCAAAGTAAACTAGAAGTGCCAGCTGGGTGCGGTAGTTCTGTTAACCCAGAATATTGTGTATAAATGTGGGCTGGCACACGGAGACCAGTAACCTCTCACTAATCCTTCCACAGATTATCATGTTATCCACAGGCAGACAAGGTCCAAAATTCTAAATGCAATATTCCAGAAATAATTCATAAAGTTTAATACTGAGTGCCATTCAAAGTACTGGATGCATTCAGAGCTCTCACTCTGCCCAGACCTTTGTCTAGACACCCCTTTGTCTAGTGTATGCCCACTATGTTTGCTGCCCTTCCAGAGTTATGGGAGCCATCTCAGTTACCAAAGTGACTGTGATATACCACAGTGCTTGTGTTTAAGTGACACCGTCTAGGGCTCTTTACTACCTCACAACGCTTGGTCATTCACCGCATTAATCTCATTAAGGACATAACATGCCCATCTCACAAGAAGAGATAGACATCAGAGACACAGAAACCACAAGCACCTCTCTTATCGGACACTCTGCTGACTGCTCTGATCTTGGTTACTACCATTACTCTGACTCCACTCACCTTATAAACTGAAGTCAGATCCATATTATATGCACTAGTCAGCAGTGTGTATAGGCTCCACTACCAGCATGGTTTCCAGGATCCACTAGGATCTTGGAATGACTCCCCTGGGCTAACAGATGACTGCTATAATTAGGTGACACCTTTAACATATTATTCCTTTGTTCCTTACATTCACAAATGTGAAAAGGAGACAGAAATGGGAGGTATGGTTTAAAATGCTGTATTTGAACTAGACGTAGGTGTATGACTAAAGCCTAGTGCTAAAGTCAAAAGCAAAAGGATCAAGAGTTAAGAGCCTGCCTAGGCTACAAAGACAGATACTGTCTAAAGAAACATAACTGGGGGCTGGAGAGATGGCTCAGCAGTTAAGAGCATTGCCTGCTCTTCCAAAGGTCCTGAGTGCAATTCCCGGCAACCACATGGTGGCTCACAACCATCTGTAATGAGGTCTGGTGCCCTCTTCTGGCCTGCAGGCATATACGTAGAAAGAATATTGCATACATAATAAATAAATAAATAAATAAATAAATAAATAAATAAATATTTTTTAAAAAAAGAAACATAACTGTACTTGAAATTACCTTTTATGAAAAGCATACACACACATACACAAGCCTTCATATTTAGCAACCCCACTCACAAAAAAAGTGTAGAAACAACCAACCCTGTAACTTAATACACATATTCCCTAGCATATAAACTATATTCTTTTTTATGGTTTGATATTTTTTAAGTTGTTTTTATTGAGTTACATATTTTTCTCCGCTCCCCTCTCATCCTCTCCAGAAACCAGCCTCAGGCTGAGAGCTCAGCCAGTAACAAACTTGCCACGAAAGCATGAAGCCCTACATTTAACCCCTACGATGCAGGTGAAAAGGCTGGCTGCTGTGGCATGTCTGGTCATCCCAGCACAGAGGAGACAAACATAAGTAGATCCCTGGAGCTCCCTAGGCAGCCAACCTAGCCTAATTCT